CGCTAGCCTACTAGTGGCAGATGTTGTATAAGACGTAGTACTTACTGTCTGATCTTTCCACCCTTGTCTCCTCCAAACACACCATCGCCTGACTTTAACATGAAGGGCGGATACAGTTCCTCCTCCAGACTGGAGAACTTGGGGACGTTCTCCTTGCCCTTGGACCCTACATGTAAGTCTCCTTTCTTGTCTGCGGAGGGATGTCCGGAGGGCAGGCGGACGGGGAGCGGGATGGGCCGGTTGTCGGGCGCGGGGTCCCTCTGTTCGTCCGCCTGGGGGTTCACCCCTGACCCGGTATCGGCTGGGGGATCAAGAAGGACAGAGACAAATTACAACTTGAACTTAACATCTGCAACATCAGACAAGATTTCACACTGTCTGTGCCTCTGTGGCACAACCCATGAAATAACTGCTGCAGTTCCAGACCCGCGTGTATACGTGTGTTGAGAAATCACCTGCAGGACTGGAACGTTCCAGGAGAATCTGTTAGTTCACGGTTAGTTCAGGGTCAAATTGTGTAAAAATTGCATTGTAGTATTGCAGCCTATTGTTTCTTGGAAAACCTTTATTTGGTGTCATTCTATAGGTAACTGCACTTTTTTTTCTATTCGCACCTTCACCATTTTCCTTCCAAAAGTTTTCATTTCTGCCTGTTTTCATGTTCCTCTTCTTTTTTTCTACAGACTAAAATGTGAAAGACGTGTGAAACGCTCACTCACTTATTTCGACGCTATTGTGTTTCGGTTCCAGAATAAAATCATCACCGTCAAATCCAGTCTTTTGCGGTCTGTCCTCCGCCTGCTCCTCTGCTGATGAGATGTAGGCGTACTTCGGGTCGTCGTCATCCTTCTTCGTCGGGATGAGATCCTCTTTCGTCAACTCTGTGGTTATCGTGTGTTTTGCTGTTTCTTCTCCCTAGGAACAAGGCAAAGGTAAAGGCTAAGCAAGAAGGACGTTCATTGCGATTTAGCTTTATATGTCTAATAGACACTAAATTGTTTATTCCTCCATTGACCGATACATGTAGTGATGTACAAAACGGTGACCATGAAAAAAGTTCCTATATTTGAAGGGGATTTTTGATTAAAAAAGGAATCAAGCAACAGCCATTTGAAACTGACACTTACATCTAACCCACCGTCGACGTCCCATGTTTTCGCTCCCACATCAACAACCATGGGATAGTACTCGTCCGCCGGTGTCGTGGTGGTGACGTGTGCTGTTGTGGTTAATGGCTCCTGGAGCAAGAAACATTGCAGTACAATAGATTAACCAAATGACATTCATGATTGGCACCTAAACTGCAAGTCTCGTGTACATGGGGTCTTCCCAAGGACGTCCTTGGTCTTCCGAAATAGCATACTTCGTCAGTATAGTCGGCAAAATGTTGCAATATTATAAACTTACTAATGTGGTTGTTGGACCCCATGTCGTTTGCAGCTGCGTAGTTTCCATCTGCGTTGTTGTTTCTCTCATAGCGGTGGTCAGGTCTGGTGTCGTCAGTTCAGCTGTGGTCATTTCCGGTTCTGTGGTCATTTCCGGAGTGGTCCTTTCCGTCGTCGTTGTTGGTGGCAACGTAGTTGTTAACATGGTGGTTGTAGTGGTTGGTGGGAGAGTGGTGGTGGTTGGTGCCATGGTGGTTGGTGGAATGGTGGTAGTGGTTGGTGGAATGGTGGTGGTGGGTGGAATGGTGGTTGTGGTTGGTGGAAGGGTTGTGGTGGTTGGTGGAAGGGTTGTGGTGGTTGGTGGAAGGGTTGTAGTTGTTGGTGGAAGAGTGGTGGTGGTTGTAGTGGTTGGCGGCATATTTGTCGTTGCCATGGTAGTGGTGGTTGTCGGCGGGAGTGTGGTTGGTTCAGGAGTGGTGGGGTCAGGGGTTAGCTTGATGAAAATGGCCTCCCCGATGCGAGGAAGACTCGGTCTTCTCCGGTAGTAGAACGAGGATGCCGGGTGGTTGGGAAACTTGGACGTGATCATGGAAATCCTGTGCTGGCGTCTCTCGGGAAAGCTCGGGGAGCTGAAGGTGAGTCCCGCGTCTGTTCCCGCGTCCCAGGGGTGCATATCAACCCGGACCTCGTCCATCCAACGGCCGTCCTCACATAGGCTTAAACTGTTCACTCCGGAGAACCAGTCAGGGCTCGGCACCAGCCGCACCATGAAGGACACCTGTAGGAAAGTGGAGAATACGACATTCAGAGAGCTACTGGAGATTATACATCGGAATGTGAAACTTGGCCATTTGAAACAGCTGGTTTCTGTCTTTGCGCCTTCTTACTATGAGCACAACTGGGTTGCTGAGTTAACATGTTTATAGGAAGGTTACATGTTCCCGTTAGTTACTTGATACTCAAACGGAAGCACCGGGCTACGCTTATGTGCGTTTGTGGGGTTCCTTGGAGCGTGTTTCTTGTCGGATATTTTTATACAAGCTGCATCAACACTCCCTTGTCTGAATCCGTCCCACTGTTTGTTGACGCTACAAACACGTACACGTGTTTCCGTGGCACGACACGCTAGCTGAGTGATGACGGAGCGGGTCAAAATCGTTAACACAGAATAAACCGGTTCATTTGTCAGGTGTGCGTGCATTTTTGATGAACATTCCCAATGTTTCTTTTCTAGCGCTCGGTGCCCTTATGGACCTCTCCTTAACCCTGCCTAGAGCCCTTCAGCAGTAGAAAACCGCACAACGTCAGCAGAACTTGTAGCTGACAGGTGCAAGCTGGAGTGTTTTCTAGTTACTCGAGACATCTCTGAACTTCCTTAAATGATCCCAGAAGCACCGAGGAAGACGTTTACGTCAGCAAGACGCGTGTTTGTCCGTCACTTATCCCTCCTTAATGTTTACAAGCCCCTGTCAGAGCCAATACGCCATATGGCGCACTGGGAGTACGGCAAGTGTTGAGAAAACACCCTCTATATAAATATTGGCAGCAGTCCTGGTAGTTCATACCGGCACAAAGCAGGTAGACCCGTGCCAACAATGTGCCCGCAGGACGAACCAGCTGAACGATTTTCTTTCACCCTGTCATTACAAAACGACTGAAGTGTGCAGGGAAG